CATTAGCAAACACGTGTATAGAATGTGGAAGCAGAAGAAACAACCACTGACCGACAATAAGTGATTCAACAATGAGCTGGCCACCTCAAAAGGACGACGAGCTACTGGCGAACTCGAGGAACCTTGGTTGCTCGAAGCCAGTAAATCCCAAAAAAACTAGTCTCTTGTTAGTTAATTTTAGTTTACTGAAGCTGTTGACTGATTCATATAACGGTTCAAGTTGATGGTGATTTTTGATGATGTTATTGTTGTTGGTAGAAGTGGTTATGATGATTGTTGTTGAGGTTGAGGCTTGAACGCAGGTCCTTGAGGTTGATGGTATATAAAGCTAAAAAAAGGTGATTTGAAACCAAGGCGCTGGGCACTGGGAGCACTATGCTTCAACCAGGAATGGAACGGAGGACCAGGCACAGGTGGAGTTAAGGTGGAGTTTGTTGTAGTTGGGGTAAGGTTTTTGGGTGCGGAATATTTATTTCTGAAGTATTTGTAAACTTAATAAAGTAGAAAGGGGACAATGATGTTGGTGGTAGTGGTTGTGAGTTGATGATGGGGGTATGGATGTGTATGTCTGTGTGTGTAGGTGAGTGGATAAGTGGGTAAGATGAGATAAGATAATGGAGTGAAAGGATGAGAGATATAAAATGGGGGAAAAGGGAACTGATATTTATACAAGAATATTGATGCTAAGAAATTGGTCTCGGCAGCCTGCTTTCTTGTGGAGAAAGCTCCATAAGACATTTTATCCAGGAGAAAAGTACTGGTGTACTTTCTTCTGGGGAAAGTAATATTTTTGCTTTCAAAGGATGAAAGTAAAGAATTACTTTTTCTTTTTAAAGGGAATGCTCCAGTCCTCTGGTGCATTACTTCTTTTATTGCTTTCTGATACACCATGCTCAGCAGGTGTGGCAGCAGGCACATCACCGCTGATACCATTGCTGCTTGTATTCCCTTCTACAGGGATTACACCTTCAACAGAGTTAAGGTGGAGTTAAGGTGGAGTTGGTGGAGTTAAGGTGGAGTTAAGGTGGAGTTAAGGTGGAGTTAAGGTGGAGTTAAGGTGGAGTTAAGGTGGAGTTTAGGTGGAGTTTAGGTGGAGTTAAGGTGGATGTCTTGAATGGGAATTGAACCCAGGTCCTTGTGGTTGGGGTGTATGAAGCCAAAAAGCAGTGGATTTCAGGCAAAGGTGAGATAGCTGAGTGGTTATGAAAAAAGTAATGTTGATATTTCTACACTATAAAGAACTGTTATAATATCTATAAGGGGGGTTATAATTGTAAAACCTCAATACTAGGTAGCTAATAATATTGAAGAGTGACCAGTGATGTAGTGTTATGGGGGGGGACTGACTAGAGAGCATCTGATGAGGAGAGAATACAACTGGCAGGCAGAGGCCTCCTTATATAAACAAAAGTGAGGGAATTTAGCTCCAGGGTACATGCTTCTGAGGCATTTTAGCTGGCCTGAAAATCCAATGAGGGAATTCAGCTAGTCTAGTACATGCAGGTGAGGGATATTAGCTAGTGAGAGCACAGCCTTGAGGGATTTTGGCTAGCCTACAAGGTCCTACTACAAAGGAATGAAGGAATTCAATATGTAATATGAGCTAGTAAAGGGATTCAATATGAAACAAAGGAACTCAATATCCAATATGCATCCAGTATTCAAAATGAGCTATAGTCAGAGTAAAGAATCCAAGAGATATCCTGTGACAGGTTGAAATCTGTGTAACTTCTAAACTATGAGAGATATGGGGTTAGTTGTAGTGGGTGACTAGGGATTAATTTACCTGAGAAATCCATTTCCAATGTTATTTTTCCCATATTTTGAACGAGTAAAGGGATAAGAAGAAATTTTTATATTTTCTGGTGGAAAAACCCAGGAATAACTACCACAACATGCATGGGGTGCAAAAATGTGCTAATGTTTAGCGTAGTATTAAGGTGATTGGGTGCATTTGTGCTAATGCTACGCACACAGGGCACAAAGAAGTGCCCATACACTGGGTTACAGCATTTTTTAGGCGTTTTTTTGCCACTAAAAATGCTCTGGTGTAGCGGCGCCAGAGGCACGCTGAGTCGCTGACACTACACCAAAAACTGGCTAGTGGTGCCGCTACAAATCAGTGTAGCGCAGCAGCAGTAGCGGCGTGCTAGCACTAGGCAAAAAAGCAGCTGTTAGCACCGCTAAGATAACACTAAATGGGCCTGTAGCGTAGCAGCCCACCGCTGCTCTAATGGTTGTACAAAACCAGTTTTTTTTTCATCAAGGGAAGAGGCCATGTATTACAAGTTTATGTTAAAATGTTGTTAAAATGCAGTGAATTTGGATATCATATGTAACTGCATGGACCCCAGGATATAATTATAATCATGTTTGTAACTTATCCTGGCCAAGATGTTTGAAAAAAAAAAAAAAAAAAAAAAAAAACTTTGTTGGCCAAAACGTACTTCTTCCAATTCTTTGTGTTCTCAAATGCTTGTATCTATAAATAGAAATTTTGACCATCATTGCTTGCCCAAATATCTCCTGCAAGACTCAAGGTGAGCATGGGGAGTTCCCATGTGGACAGTTGAGCAGAAAATGGAAATCTGTCAAACCTATCCCAAGCCTATGTTAGTCTTGGGTGACCAATGTCCCAGCCCATTCTCTACAGTGGCATAATGTGAGAGTTCTGTACCAAAGAATGTCTTTATGATTGTAAGGTATATGCACTGACAAATTGATTGGTAACTCAACTTCAAATACCCACAGATTACATTTGAGTGACAATGGCACTGCTCTATGCACAGCTTTCCACAAAGATCATTTTTTCTACCTACCCCCTTTGGATGAGATCTAGGCTGAACCAACACAAGACAGCTTCAGACTTCCAGAGGAAAAAGGTAAAGACATTATGAGCAGTGATTTGAACTCAAAGACCCAGTTTTCAGGAAATCCCAGTATAGAGAATCAGACAATGTTTGATTTTGTGAAGTGACACTGTTCATTAAAAGAAATCATAAGCTTGATTGTGTGGCTAAAGTTAAACCAAGTGTTCTGCCACAAAACAGTGAGAGGACAAATGCAAGCAACAAACAAAATGGCTGGAATCTGATACCAAGGTTTAACCTTTAGCAACAAAGTTCTTGAGGGTTAAAGTTTTCTAAGCATTTCTGAGCACTTCAAGACCAAATCTTCAAGTGTGCAGGTCTTGAAAACTGCCTATATTTTTCTGAGCACCTCTTGGTATTGAATACAAAAAATTCGGTTGGATTAATTTTTGTTGCTAGGGGATGTGATTATACAGATAAGGTGGATGCTTGGAGGAAGATTCAACAGATTTGCAGATAATGTATATTCAACTTCAGTAAAGGTTAGAATGTGCTAATAGCTAAGTCTAATTTGATTGAATCGAGGTTCGCTTGTCTTGCTTTACAGCTTGAGTGACATCAAGTTCATACCCTTGCGAATCTGTGTGGAGGTTGAAAAAAACAGATATCACTCAGCTTGGGCTATACCGCGAGGGATAGATCGGGAAAGGCATTGGATTGAAATCCATGTATCACAAAAGCTAAGGAAGACTCACCTCCGATACGGATGGAAACTTCTTGCGGGCAAAAAGCTCAGCTGCTTGGACCATCATTGGATCTTTTTTCATCGTAGCGATCGCTACCACCTCATCGTCTTTATAATAGTAGGCTACAAAATTGAGCTCATCGGCGTTTCCCTCGATGATCACGTCTTGCCATTGAGAAGCCTTTCCGGTCCCAACGTATCGTAACTGTTCACCTTGCGCTGACCAGAAAATCGCCGGTTTGGTGAAAGCCACCAGCGGTTCTGACTTTTGTTCTTGGGCGATATTCTTTGCTGCAGCCCTTGCATGGTTACCGGCAACGTTCCAGTGTTCTGTTTTCAATATTTTCACATACAGAGTACATGTCAGCAACCAATTCGACTGTAGCTTATTAATTTTTAGGGGGCCATCGAGGAGTGCATTTTGCGTACCAATTCTAACCAAGGCTCCATCAGTCAAAAGATCAGGGTATTTTGCAATGTCTCCGATTGCGTAGATCGTGTTGCGGGCCTTTGAGTCTTTGATTCGAAGATATTCATCGACCACCACACTACCGTCCTTTTCCAAGGCTATGCCGGCCGCCTTGAGAAGATCAGTGTTGGGCATGACCCCAACGCCGAGTACCACGCCGTCACACTTAACTACTTCCCCTCCCTTCAAGGCTACTCCTCCCACATGGGAAGGATTGGATTCTTATCGAAACAAAACAAAACAAGACGTGGATGTACAAAAAGCGTCGATCAGCAAAAGCTTTTTTGACAAATAGTCGAGAAAACAGGGCGAGCTCAACATACCAGAAGGCAGGAACTTTTCGAGGTTTGCTTCCAAGTGGAACACGACACCGTTCTTCTCGTGTGATTTTTTGATCGCATTCCCGATCTTGTCGCCGAGGATTTTGCTTAGGGGGATTTTATCCATCCCGATTACATGCACCTGGACGTTCTCTTTCTTGGCTGCGAAGATAGCGAGCTCCATGGAAATGAAACTCGATCCGATAAGAGCGATTGTTTTCTTCTTGTCGGGACTAGCGCCGGATAAAATGGACTGAATCTTTTGAGCATCCGGGATTGCTCTCATGATGCTAATGCCCTCGAGATCCGCACCATCTAAGGGTAAAGTTCTTGGGATTCCACCGGTCGCAACGACCAGTTTTGAATATTTGATCGTTGAGCCATCTGATAAGCTCACCGATTGACCTTCCACGTCAATTTTATTGACGGCCTTATAGATTTAAGCACACATGAAAGCGCGAAGTCGTCATCAGCATATGTATCGATATGAAATCCGACTACAATGAGGAGGAGCTACCTTGCCAATCTGGAGATCAATTTCCGTGTCACGGTAGAACGCTTCATCCCGGAATGCGATTTTTTTGGGATCAGTAATTAAAGCCTTGGATAACTTGGTTCTGTTAAGGTCCAATGTGCACCACAAATGTTAGCGTATATTGAAGAGGAATGTAAGGTGTTAAGATGACTTACCTATCGATTGGCAGGTTGGGCTCTTGGCTGATCAGGGTGACGTTTCCGTTATAATTGAGCCTTCTAATCTCTTCTACGAAATAATGACCGCCTGATCCGCCCCCAATGACGACCACCCCTGGTTGGTCTTTAGCTTTTTGACCGCTCGATTTACACTTCGCAGGTGTCCGACCGAATTGCGTGGCCTTGACGAGCTCAGGATCGACTTCTACAAATACTCTCTCGTCCTCGATTAGGACCGTGAATGACTGTAAAGCGTTCAAGCCGGGTGCATCTTCGATGTCACCATCCTTGTTAACCGAAAACTTGGCACCATGCCAAGGACAGGTCAAGCAACCATCGGAGGCCAAGACCCCATTGATTAAAGATGCGCCATAATGGGTACATTGCGACGAGGTCGCGTGAATTTTTCCCATGACTTTAGTAACCAGAATTTTGGGTGACTTATCCGCCTTGGGGTCCAAGGGAATTTCTTTCCTGTTGAACGATACGCCGGTAAGGAAGTCAGTAATTCGATTTCTAATCAGATAATGATTAAACCATTAAAGCCAGAGAGATAAGTCACATCATGCCATCTTGCCATTCTGATACGTTTCCAGCCTCGAGACGCATGTTCGGTGCTAGTGTTGGAATTGCAGTTGAGAAGGGTGAGGAGGAGGTTTTCAAGTAGAAGGTTGACTTGAGGAGCACTTGTCTTGTTGGGGGAGGTTGTACAACTTTGAGCCGAACAGTGGGTGGTCGGAAATGGTAAGAGGCTATATTTTTCCAATTCTTCGGATACATGCAACAACAAAGCGATGTTCAACTCGGAAGCCAGTCATCGACTTGTCCAAGATCAGGAAACAGATCGGCTCAACACCTGTGAAATTGCCAACCCATCCCTGCCGTTACCTCTATGACGTCATACCATGATTGTGAACCCATTTGACCAATCACAGCCTGCCAATTACAAAGTAATGGCCGCCAAGTTATCTAAGCAACTGATTGGGGTACTACGAGTCACAAAGACAACCACAAATATGTGAGGTTAGCTGAGACGCATCACAATACCTCCGAAGATGTATCATTCACTTATTTCTTCAGGGGCACATGCTTCGTACATATCTGGGAACAGCTGGGGACCTTCTGGGATTAGTGAGGTTTGTAACGGCTTCCGGAGGGGAACAGAAGGAAGCTAAGCTTACTTGCCACAAGGGTTCATGGCTTGACGTAGAGGTGGGTTCCACAAGGCTTGATCCATCTACATACATCGTGTTTCCTGCTTGCTCGCAACCTCAGTTTTACTCCCACATATAGTTCTCATGATGCGAATTCGGATGGCCCAACCACTCACCAGGAAAGGGCTGCTAGATTCCTGTCTGGCTTGTTGGCTGTTCATTCACCTAGTCTTGCTGGAACCTGCAGGATGCAAGTTTCCCCGTGGCTCAGAAGCGAGCGTCCCGCTGACGGACACGAGTGTCTTGCCACCGGAAAACTACAACACCGTCTATCTTAACACGATCGCCCGGGCTTCCGGATCCCAATCCAAGTTGCCTGAGGTTCGACCACGATATCGTGATCTGCCTGAAGGGCTGATGGCCGGAAACGAGCCCAAGCGAGCCCGATACGGACCGGCTGGTAGCTATCTAAATGATGATGGTGAACAAACAAGAATGACTCATGACAAGAGGAGATTCCAGGTTACTAATCATCTTCGTCACTCCACAGCTCATTCGGCGAGCGCCGTCTCGGGAGATAGGTTCATCCATCCAATCGTACGGCAAACTTCCCATCAGATGCCAAATCATCGAGGAAAAGGTTAATCAATGTTCTTTTTTTGTTTGAATGAAGACAATCAAATGGTGCCCGGAATAGCCGATTGAGCCTGCCTTACTTTATGACTTCTTACTTGCCTGTCCACATGCGTCCGTTTCTCCAGTCAGAGCCGGGTCCGATCAACTGGACATTCGGAATTATGGAGAGATTGCCGACGTGGGGATTGTGGAAACCAGTCGAGACAAACGATCAGCTGATATCGCCATTCAATCTCCTTCGCTCGAGTGTCCCTTCACTAATATCAATACTTTCTGGGTCGCCGACTCTCTGATCAGAAGACGCACCCAATCCTTCGAGTCAAAATATCCGCCATTTGTGAAATACCTCTTCATTGATCAATCCAACCCTCATTCTAAACCAGTTCTGTTGGACGCGAGACGTTGGGGACAGACAAGCAATTCGATCCCAGTGGTACCGATTTCTGGATACCCTGTATCAACACGACACTTGAACCGTAGATTTCAAGAAATCACTAGGCTGATCATTTACAATCACGCTGCACTGCTGAGGACTTTATCGAAGACTCTCAATGAGGAAATACAAGCCCATGACGATTTGGAAGCATGGCTGATTAAAGAAATTTATTATCCAGACGTTGGCCTGCCTATCATAGCTAAATTCTCCAGGAACAAATTGGACATACGCAAGGCGCATCATGACCAAGCTCAATGTTTGTTGATTGCCCACTTGCGTCAAAACCAAGACCTCGAGGAAAAATTTCGTGACTCGATCTCGATCATTGGTCTTTATTATAAGCAAAACCTTCCTGATGTATGGAGATCGTTTGGGAACAGTGATCAGGAGTTCTGGTCACTCCTACGATTGGCCCTCCAAAATGCAAAGACAGGTAAATTGGACGTAAACGAACTGGATGAAAATCTAAATTTAGAGCAGCAAATCGAAAGAGAACTTTTCCCTCAACGATCCAGGATTGCAGAATTTTCGCATAGGATTGCGGCGACTTATGATTCAATTTCATGGCAACAAGGAATCAAGGGCAGACAAGAATTCGATAATTTTCCGGTCACTTTGATTCCTGGAGTGACCAAAGATCAAGGAATAAGAATCCAGTCTATTCGGATCAAGGATGATCAACAGATATTGAGACCACTAGTCACAGCGAAGAAATTTGAAGTCTTACTGATTAGCTGCGTCAATCTTCACAACACCCTGCTCGGTTATCTAAAGAAGAACGACTTGAGAGTGCTTCCGAATGCCTCAGGTGCGTTTCTAAATTGGTTCTCCAAGTGTGTGTTTGATCATACGGACGCCAGTTTACCGGTCTTTGGATACATTTCCATGGATGTTGAGTTGGGCCATCGTGATCAGTCACTTTTCGGTCACATTCAACAACTCGTCGTCCTCTTCATGCATCATAGATCAGTAGGAGACCATCTGGGAACGGCTCGTGAAATCCTTTCTCATTGGTATCGCAGCTCGAATAAGGAATATTGCCTCAAGCGATTCGGTTCAGTGAATAATTTTCTTGATCATTTTAGAGCTTCTTTTCTCTCCTAGGACCCTTGGATACTTTTGAGATTACTTTAACCACTGAAATAATTACAAGTTATAGGAATCTGAATCTGAATTGAATCTAAACATATAAGCTCCTGCTAAATAAGAGTAGCTTGACCATTATTATAGTCAGCCTTGGCCCCTAAGAGATAGATTGGCTGTTGTTCTTCCATCAAAGTATAAATGCAAATTTTTGGATGTTTTTTTTTGGGAGGGGGGCCTGGCTATTAAAGGGAAAGATGATTACCACTGAAGTAAATCTCTTTGACATATATTGGTTGGTTTTTTGTTTCTTGATCAGAAAAGGCCAGAGGGATCTCTGACAAGCTTGTTATGATAGAACCATGGCCATGTGAGAAGAGAAGAAAACAAACCTGTCAGTTGCTACAAGTAATTGTGAATGACAGGTATGTTCCAAAACCCTAATTGTTATGAATTGATAAAGAGCCCTTTAGCAGACTGAACATACCATCTTTGTGCAGCTTCAGTCAGCATGTAGTCTCTCTGTCAGCATACTGTACAAAAACCTGTCAAAATGCTTTTATCCCAACCCATTGTTTGCTTGGGGTTGGGTACATACTTCTGCTGATAGTTGCCAACTACTTTGCCCCTGTCATGGAAGTAATGGTATGGGTGGTATTTTTATTTAATATTACCCACAGTGTTCCCAACATGCTTCAATTTAATGTTGCAATCTGTTATCGGTTCTGCGTATTATATGAGCAGCAAAAAAAAACAATAAAAGGAGGAGTACAAAATCCAACTAGTCACATTTGTGAATCTTTATCCATCAAACAACAGTTTTGTTTACTAAAAACAAAGAAGAAAAAAAAATGAACATAGAGAGAAACTTGATTTCAGGAACCTTATAGGAATCATCAATGGAAGACATGCAGAAGACATGGAGAAGTGAGAGGTGCATACAAGGAGAAGAAGAGACGATAATAATTTTTATTTTGATGAGATGAGCTTTGAAAGGGTTCTTGAGTACGGCAAAAGGGGGGAAGCGTTCAAGTTCCGGACTGGAGTTTTGAGGATTTTCCATCGGTATTCACGGTTGCTTGAGGATCCTCATCATCTTGATCGAAGTCATCAAACTCGACGTCCCACTGACGTTCCGAATCGCCAGCCTCACCGCCCAACAGTTCTCTCCTGATCTCTTCTTCCTCTTCATCCAATGTTCTTAGTCGATCGCCCTCGGCACCTCCGACTCTTGCCTCGTCATCCAACGCTAGACTGATCTGACCCGCCTGTGCCATCGTCGCTTGGTAGAGATAGTATGAGACTGCCGCGCCAAGAGAAGCTCCAGCCACGATGTAAAAGATGTTCAGGGCGATCGTCAAATTGTCCAATCGGTGCGTTGAACTCGGATCTGATAGATGGAACACTCTGGCTCCAATGAATACGTGTAGTAGTAACTTCGGCGTTGTCGCTAGGGTGGCGATCATGAAATCTTGCAATCCACACGAAGTCGTCAGGGATGCAAAAAATAGGTTGCTGTATGTGAATGCTGTTGGTGTTTGTTGGCGTTCATTTGGTATTTTTTGTTTTGGAAATGTTGTCAATCGGCAGCCGAATTTGAATCGTTCAAGTTATGTTCATTCCACCGAATCGATTGCAGGTGGGTTTGTTTTGTTTTGTTTACAGAGAGGCCGAAAAGATGAGGAGCCAAAAACTATTACATTAACGACATTGATCACTCACGGAAGGGGCATAGTCGAATCAAACAGATCAATGGCAATCCCTTGACAGCTACATACATATCAAAACAATCCCGATACATGGCGTCAGTTATATGCGTTCTGATTCGAGTTTTCGTCTACCATTTCTATCTCTTTCTTTGGAAAAATGCTGGACAAGGAGGACGGACCGACTGCTTGTCTGAGTGCTGCAAACCTGGGTTGTTTCGACAACCAATGCTGGAAACGGGGGAGGTTTTTCCGGAGTAATCTGGCGATAATAGATAGTGCAGGAAGAATAGATAAACAGCATCAAATTTTCAGCCTTGTTCTTTTTCAAAATACTTTGAATCTATGCAGTACATGGTTTGGGAAAATAGATAGAGAGAGAGAGAGAGATTAGGGTTTTTTACAAAAAAACACGCACAGGAAACTTGTAGCACTTCCGCATAAACAGCCTACGCTTGCCAAAATCCAACCCCAAAACCAGCCATAAGTGAACCCGCAAAGTGTCGTGAGAGTGCCTGTTTTTGGAATCAGCATTTCAGTATAGCAGACGAGAAGAGCAAGAAGAAAATAAAAGTACCGTAGCCGATCACTGGAGGGAAGCTAGCGAGGGTGAGGAAGAAGATCAAATAGAATGGACCGAGAGTGAGTTCCCTTAGATCGATTGCCCAGCGAGCCAGTCGTGCAAAGATCCAAGAGGGGGTGAGGATGATGAGTGCCAGGAAGAGTAAGAAGTTGAGCGCAAGATAGCAAGAAGTGAATATCTTGGCCAGGATACTGAGTTCGTCGAACCATTCTCTGAAGTTACGATAGGCCAATCGAGCCTTCTGTTGCAGGTTATGTGGCTGTAGTCCGGTTAAGAATGGCATCCCGGAAGTTGATCGAGTGGGTGGACTGGGCAGTGAATTCGGAAAAGTGTGTCTGACTCGACCAAGGTTCTCTCCTCTAGTCCTATCCCTCGTAGTCGAGTGGGTTGTTGATCAGGTTGAGATAGAAACCAGGGAGGCTGTCATAGGGTTCATGTGGAAAACATTAAATCTTGTTTTATGTATGTATAGGTTGCCAACTAATCAAATTATAGAAACTCATCTCACAGCAGTCTATGCCACGTCCTCTCATGTCATTGCAGCAGTAAAGGAGCTACATAATACATAGCAGACAGAAACGCAGGGCCTTCTTCCCCTGTGTGAGGAATGTTTTCTGGAGAGAATGGAAAACAGGCACACAACAGTTTGTGAGAATAAGATCCAAAGTTGACTACTCACTTGGCCAAATGTCTGGCTTTGTTCCAATCACACTTGTCTTCCAACCCACCTACATAAATTAGGGGTCCCCATTGATCAGACACTGGCACAAAAGGTTCATCAAGGAGCCAAGCCTTAACTTTTGAAATCAATTTAAAGGCCTTCATCAACCATATATTTTTTTTGGGTCTTGATTAAATGACTCCAAAATATTGGAGTTCTGACTCCCAAATATTTGGGACATCCAGAGGACCGGCTACAAACAGTCCTCTCTACGCCAACCCCCAAAAAATTGGGGGGAAAAATTAGGGGAAAAAATTAGGGGGGTCAACATCAAGAGGACTGTCCACAGCCAGTCCTCTTGACATCCCAAATACTTGGGAGTCAGAACTCCAATATTTGGGAGTTGTTTAGTCAAGAGCGTTTTTTTTCCTCAAGAAATTGGACCATCTCAACAGTTTTTGGGGTTTCCAAAACCATCTATGTCTCCCCTTGCTATCTATTTTGCCCCTGTCATGGCATCATTTGTGGAGGACTCCCTGTTGCAATTGAGAGTACTTTTTAGACCTCTCTAACTCCTAAATTTACAACCACATGAGAGCTGTTGCCAGAAGGCTTCTGAAAAAACATCTTTTTGAACAAAAATGACATAGATCCAAGGGTTTTAAATTGACTTCTGGGAGGGTTGGAGATTGCAACATGAAGTAATCCAGTGGATGACTTCCTGTTGGTATTTACAATACATCCCTTGAACAATTTGATTTACACCCCCAAGGTCTTGATTCTTTGCAAAAAAAGTATTTTTTTTTAGAACCCTTGTAACAATGGCACTTGTCTCATGTGATGTGGTTGTGGTTTTTTAGAGTGCTCATTTAGAGCTGGGAGGGGTCTAAAAAACACTCTAAATTGAGTTTGGAGGTATTCCTCCAACCTTGAGACTATAGGTCTCCAGGCTGAGAGGGGTTCCTCTCAGCCTTGAGACTGTACAAAGTCTCAAGGCTGAGAGGGATTCCTCTTGGCCTTGAGCCATGTACAGTCTCCTCCCAGATGTTTATAGCCATCTGTTTTGAGCTCCACACTGGGAATCCAAAAACTTCAAGTCACAAGGGTTTGTGGAATGATGGAAAATGTGTTTCAAAGAATGAATATGAAAAAATAATAGTAGAAAACAAGAGTTTGAAATTTGTGAAAAAGATAACAGAAAATCAACTTTTTTTGAAAACTTTAATTTTTTGTTTGAGTGAAAAGTGAACACACAGAGGGCAAGTTTGGAACATGAAAAGAATGATTATAAATGAAAAATATTGATCCCAAAAAAGTTTGAGCATGGTGGGTGGACACCCTGCAGTCAAAATTAGTAGATTGCAGTACCAGAATGCCACATTTCTTGATGAATGACCCCCTATGCACCCTTTCTAAACCACCAAGTAGTCATTTTTTTCTCCAAATTTTCACTTCTTATTATTCATTCCAGATCTCATACTATCACTTTGGAAATTTCATCTTTCCCTGAAAGAAATATTAGAGCTGTCAGTTTTTGTGATTTTCTCCTTTTTACTTTTTACAAATTTTATAATCTTGTTTATCATTATTATTTTTTCATATTCATTCTTTGAGACCCATTTTCCACCATTTCACCAACTATTGTGACTTGAAAATTTTGGTTTCTTGGTGTGGAGCTCAAAACAGATGGCTATAAACATCTGGGAGGAGACTGTACATAGAAAAGACAGAGATACAGTCGCTTTTTGGTATTCTCAAGTGATGCTTGTGTAAGTGGTTCTGAAACATCACCTACCTCAGCAATCAATGGACCTAAGGCTTGGCTTCCTTTGATATCTAGATCACCAACCCTTTCATAACTTGAGCAAAGTATATGTAGATTAGACCTTCCACAATGGAACACTGCATCTCTGAGACCATATGTTGTTGGAGTTGAGTTATCACAAAGGATAACTGGGGAAGTAAAAAAAACTCAAGCAAAACATTGCAGGAAATTTTTGAATTGTTGCATATGAGAGTGATCTGAGATTGTGTTGTGTTGATTGTGAATAAATGGTGTGCTGATAGTCCAATGTGGGGTTTGGTAAGAGAAGTGGCAAAAGACTTGAAGTGATGCAATATTATATTAAACACACCTAACACATCAAGCAAAGCTGGGATGCAGGGCAATGTGGGAAATTGGATGGATTCTCAGAACAAGAACGGTGGGCCACAAGTTACAGCTAACCGTACAACTAACAAAAGTTACAGAGTGAATACTTCAGTTATCCAGGAAAATTAAATCATCAGGGATTGGTCTTGCCTGTTCCTTGAAGTTGTGTGAGAAATTTTCTTTTTTGGTCAAGTCAATGATTTTTAATTATTAGATGCATGACCAATGATTCAGCTGAAATGTTAGCTGAAAAATTGGTCATGGATCTAATAATTATAAATAAATGACTTGATCAAAAGACTTTTTGTTCCACACAACCTCAAGGAACAGGAAAGACCAATCCCTGATGATTTAATTTTCCTGGATAACTGAAGTATTCACTCTGTAACTTTTGTTAGTTGTACGGTTAGCTGTAACTTGTGGCCCACCGTTTTTCTCTGAAACTTTTTAGGTTGTTTGTTTCACCATATAAACTTAAGTCCACTTGTGATTTTTTTTTGTGCTTATCCTCATGTAACAAATTCCAAGTGTGTCAAGTCTGTGTTGCCACCTTATCTACTGAATATGGATGAATTATAAAACAAAACAAGTTCCAATTTATAGGTAGATGAGTTTCCACAATGCACATATACCTTGGCTTCTCAGATCAAATTCAATAAAATATTTTTTTTTACATCCATTTTTGATAACAAAAAATCTAGGTGAAAAGATTTTTGGTCCAGAATGGATAGTTTGGCAAGGATTCAAGTTACAATTACATATTACCCATCAAAAATCATTGAAGACTCAAATAAATCACAGTTATTACTTCCAGCTCTACTTTTCATCTTGGAATATTTCCCTGAAAGTTAATTGTAATAGTATTTCAATTGAATACCTGAGAAATATCTGTAATGCGAACTACATTGACTACATGGCATAAAGAAAAATAATTGATGGTACCGTATGTGATATCACTTCATCCATTAAATTTAGTACAAGAGATACTTTGTTTTTGTCCCAGGTTGTCATGAAGAGGTAGTAGGAATTTTATTTAAACATTTTGTTGAACTGGTCAAAGTCATAATTTTGCCATATGTGACTCTTTTTGAGTGTATATTTGCAATGAGATTGATTAATTATCAAGTTTATGATCTGATTCAATCATTTTGTAGATGAATTTGATATCCAATCAATTTTGTGCAGCTTTGTGTGATAAGGTTCATTTGAGCAAGGAGTAGGCTTTTTGTTTGAAAAAAATGTAAAAAGATTACCTTATGTGGAAATTTCTATAATAAATTTGTTGATGTTGGTCAGTGGAGGGGATTCTTTGACATATTTTCTTGCACTGCCTTGGCTTGAAATTGATAATGCATTTTGTATGGGAGTGAGAACAAAAATTTGAACATGATATAGTGAATTGTTACATTATCTGCATAATTATCTTTTCAATTTGCAGCTTTTTTCACAAAGAAGGGCCAGGAAATTTCAAAAAGTGGTAGTTTGACTTCTCAATCCAAATTAGGTCAGATATTATGCAATAAAATGAAAACTACATGATGTGTGATGAGTTCTGAATCTTCTTTATGAATGCTTTCTGTCAGTATGATTTTTTTATCTAAGTTCAACATTATGATTTTGATTTCTAATCAGACTCTCCTATCATATTTATCACTCTTTGAAATGCTGAATCATTTCCAAAAATTGATCTCCTTTCATTGTACATTCAGAAGCTCTGAGTTTAGCTACAAGACAGAAGGTGATTTCAAAGTGTATTCAGATGATAGGAGTGGTCATGGGAACCATGCTAATTTTCAGTGTAGGTATAGATATAATCTTGTAGATAGACATACATATGGGATTCAATTCATACAAATCCCAATTAAATTTTTACATACAGTAGAGATAGAGCTTTAGATATAACCCCTGATGAGTTTGGAGAATGGTCAAAGTTATTGTCTAACATATGCCCAGGATATGAATTGGATTCAATGAGGCACCTGCATGCAGGTTCCAACTTTTTTTTCCTGGGGTGAGGCCATATTTTTCTATTTAACTAGTTGGATATCTTAAATGTGGTGCCACCAACCTTTGCCCTAGTCTCTAGTTAAAAATCAAAAGCATTCATTGACTGTAGTGCAGTAAATTGATATAAATTACCCAAAGTAAGATAACATGACATGAAATGTTGATTCTAGCCCAATAAGTGAATGAATTAACTACTTGTTCCTCAGTCTTCTTTCCACCCCATCACCAAATCTGATCCCACAAGCAAGCAATAAAAGATACAATGTTTAAGGAAGTATCCAGTATGTCTAGATTATTCCCCCAGTGCAACCAGAACCTTGTGTTGATTAGTATTACTAACAAGTCTTAAATTGAAACCTAAACTGGAGGACATCCCGTCACAATTTAGAATGTTTTTAGACCTCTCTAAGTTCTAAATTAACACTCCAATCACAACCACAACTAGCTCACTTGAGGGGCTTCACTACAAGTCTTCTGAAGAAAGTTTTTTTGGACAAAAATTAAGAACTTCATGGTGTAAATTTAATTCTGTGAGGGTCATAAATGCTGACGGGAAGCCGTCCACTGCTGCTTGCAAATAGCATTTGTTTAATTATTACCTTTGAATATTTATCCATAACCCATTGTGGGTGGTTGGGAGACATTTGAATCTTAAATTCAATTAATCATCAGAGAATTCTCTTTTCACCCACCCTCCTCACAAATGTTAAGCCTCATGA